TTGGCTCCCAGTGGCAGGGAGCTGAGCGGCACCGGAGGCCCTGCCTGCAGGGAGCTCCCGATACAGGAGACGAGGCCAGCGACCAGCCAGCGGCTCCGTGTCCCTGAGCTCTGCAGACACCGCAGGGGGCCCATAACTTGTGGATGGGCGCTCAGCTGGGTCAGGGCAGGTCGTTTGAGGAGCCACATCTGAGTTGAGACCTGCACCAGGAAACGGGAGTCAGTCGCCTGATCTGGGAGGAGAGCAGCAGGTGCAAAGGCTGGTTGGTCCTGCGGGGGCGCCAGGCATGGCTTCATGCAGAAGGACATCCCAGTGCTGAGATTTGAAATGCATGCAGGTGTTTCCCAGAGCAACCAAAGGGGCAAGGGTGTGAAAAAGCAGGGACCACTCGAAACCAGTTTGGCTCAGTGGATAGAGCGTCAGCCTGCAGACTGGAAGGTCCCAGGTTCGATTCCGGTCAAGGGCATGTACCTTGGTTGCAGGCACATCCCCGGTAGGGGGTGTGCTGGAGGCAGCTGATCGATATTTCTCTCTCACTGATGTTTCTAACTCTCTAACCCTCTCCCTTCCTCTCTGTAAGAAATCAATAAAAAATATATTAATAAAAAATTTTTTAAAAAAGCAGGGACCATTCAGGAAACAGCAGGCATGTCCATGAGACCCAAGGAAGGAGTGGTGGGATGGGGGAGACTCGTGTGGCTCAGCGTTTGAGCATCGACCTATGAACCAGAAGGTCATGATTCAATTCCCAGTCAGAGCACAGGCGCGGGTTGTGGGCTCCATCCCCGGTGAGGGGCGTGCAGGAGGCCGCCGAGCAAAGGTTCTCTCTTTCATTGATGTTTTTCTCTCGCCCCGTCCCTTCCTCTCAGAAATCAATAAAAACCTATGCAAAGGGTTGCGGGAAGGGAGTGAGACGGTGAGGAAGCCCTCCTCCCGGGAGAGGAGCTTGGGCTTCCTCCTAGAGACATCGATGAACTTGAGAGGGGACTTCGCCGCCGCCTGCTGACACGTCGGCTCCTTCCCGCGTTGCAGTCTTACACAGAGGAATGACCTGGTGGAACGGCCTTTCCAAAAGATCCCTCGGCCAGAATCGGAGCGCCCATGTCCCTTGCCCAATTATGACCCTGTTCGGGCCTATTTCCAAAAGACTCTACTGCCCTCCCTCTAAAAATAGTCAGCCTTCCCTCGGGGGCGCCTGATTCCAGAGCACGGCGGTTCAGAAGGAGCACCGCTTGGTCTGTGTCTTTGGGACTCCAGTCACCGGACTGCACGCCTTCAGCTTTCTCGTCCACAGCTTCCCAAGTCCAATGACATCACATGGCGGGTGTCGCCGGGCAGCGGGAGGAGACGAAGGGGGTCCGATGGACAGAGAACGTGTGGTCATCTCAGCGTCTGCCATGTTTGGGTAGAAGCCCAGTGTCTCAGCAGTGGAGGGGGATAATAGGGCCGCCTGTAGGGTTGTTCTGAGGATTACGTTGGTGAATGTGGTCTGTAAAGCACCTGGAAGACTCAGAAACATGACGAGTGCTATGAAAGTGTTGGGTGTTATTTTTGGCCAATGCTTTTTCTTAAAAAAAAAAAAAAAAAAGGAATTGTGCCTTTCTTTTTCTTGTTTTTAAAAATATATTTTTATTGACTTCAGAGAGAGGAAGGGAGAAGTAGAAAGAGAAATATCAATGATGAGAGAGACACATCCATTAGCTGCCTCCTGCACACCCTCCACTGGGGATTGGGCCCACAACCCGGGCATGTGCCTTGACTGGGAATCAAACCCTGGCCTCCTGGTTCATGGGTCAACACTCTGAGCCACACCGGCTGGGCTGACCAACCCACTTTCCATTTCTACAATTAAACCAGAGTTTTAGTGGAAGAAAAACATGTAGATATATACTGTGTGCGTATGTCTACCTCTCTTTAGCTGTGAGCTGCAGGGGACATATGCATACACACATACACTTCCATATCACAGTGAAGAAGGCTGATGGAAACAAGGAGATGCATGTGAAACGTGCTGCTGGAGAAGAGCTCTACAGATACCCTTGATCACCAGAAGACAAACAAGTGGACTGCAGAGCAAATGAAGCCTGAACCATCGCTGGAGGCAAAAATGGCAGGACGGAAGCTCTCCTATTTCGGGCACATCCTGAGAAGCAGGGTTCTTTGGAAAGAATAATCATGCTGGAAAAAAATAGAAGGCAGCAGGAAAAGAGGAAGACCAGCTAGGCGATGGATTTCGACTTCCCTAATGAAACAGCCTGTAACACACACACAGGAGGTCTGTCAGGGGCGGCAGAAGGACGGGAGAGCTGCAGCCACGTGCCCAGGAGTGCCTGCAGCTTAGAGGCTGGGTGAGGCAAGGAGCAGGTTCTCCTAGAGCAGCGGTTCTCAACCTTCCTGATGCCGCGACCCTTTAATACAGTTCCTCACATTGTGGTGACTCCCAACCATAACATTATTTTCGTTGCTACTTCATAACTGTAATTTTGCTGTTAACGAATCATAATGTAGACATCTGTGTTTTCCGATGGTCTTAGGCTCTACTTAGTTGGGACCCACAGGTTGAGAACCGCTAGCAGGGTCGCCTAAGACCATCGGAAAACACAGACATTTACATTACGATTCACTAACAGTAGTAAAATTGCAGTTATGAAGTAGCAAGGAAAATAAGGTTATGGTTGGGGTCACCTCCACACGAGGAACTGGATTAAAGGGCCACGGCGTTAGGAAGGTTGAGAACTGCTGCCTTAGAGCTTCCGGAAGGACCCAGCCCTCGGGCAGCTTGACGTGAGCACAGGGACACTGACGTGGGACCTCTGGAAGGTGGCACGTTTGTGCTGTGATAAGCCCCTGAATGTGTGGCGATGTGTTACGGTCGTCGTAGGGAATTAATGCACCTTTATTCCAGCACCAGGACCTCAAGCCCGGGCCCCTCTGTTTCCGAAGACGTAGCACAGAGCCTTCACAGGGGCTCACAGACGCCGCTGAATGAACTGCCGAGTGGATTAATGCTCATCCACTTCATTCAGCTGCCTGTCTCCACCCCCCCCAAGCCTGAAAACACACACACACACAGCTACACACACACACACACAGCTACACACACACACAGCTACACACACACACACAGAGCTACACACAGAGCTACACACGCTATACACACACACACAGCTACACACACACAGCTACACACACACAGCTACACACACACACACACACAGCTACACACACAGCTACACAAAGCTACACACACACACAGCTAACACACACAGCTACACACATACACACGCTATACACACACACAGCTACACACACACACACACACACAGCTACACACACACACAGCTACACACACACACACAGAGCTACACACACAGCTACACACGCTATACACACACACACAGCTACACACACACAGCTACACACACAGCTACACACACACACACCCCTACACAGCTCATCTGACCACTCCCCCTCCAACCCCCAGGAGGGCAGCTCTGATCTTACACCCGAGCCCACATGAAGCTGCCCAGCAAACAGCTATTTCACGACTCTTCTTCTGGCCTCTGTTCTATGCCCGCCTAAACACACGTATATATTTAACTTCGTTCTTTTGAACAAAATGGGACCGCACGATCCACACCCTGTTGATATTCAGGGGGGAGGGTAATCTCTTCCAAGGTGATAATCGGACACATCCACAGAGATGCAGGGACGAGAAGCGGACATTTTAACATGGCTGATTTGAAAAATCATAAGAACTGGGGTTGCATCACAGAAATGTAAAAACCATCTTCTCTGATAAACAAGCAATGGCAGCCAGAGGCAGCCCTGATCCTCACCACTTCCTCATCCCTCCCACCTCCACCTCAGCCCCCTCTCAGCCACCGAGGCAACGGTGACATCTGCATTTAGAGATAACATTGAGGGAGGGAAGCAGATGCCAGACAGGGTGGTTTTGTTAAAAAGAACGAAGTCAAACATATACGTGTGTGTGTGTGTGTGTGTGTGTGTGTGTGCGCGCGCGCGCGCGCGCGCGGGCATAGAACAGAGGCCAGAAGAAGATGCAGGAAGATGGGAACACATTTTGACGGAGATTAGCGACAGCTGGTTTTTATTTTTCTTATTTTAATTTAATTTACAAAGAACAAGACTGCTGATGTAATAAAGTTTAAATCATTCAAAATAAAAGAAACGGAGCGTTTGCGTGGCGGGGCTACTCCGAGTCCCCTTCCGGGCACCCAGGTCTCTCTGCCCCCCCCCCCCCCCCCCCGCCGTGGGAAGCTGGGTCCCCTGAGTCCCGGCGGGCTCGGTAGGAAAACTGCGGGAGGCGGGAGAATGGCGTGGCCCGGGGCCTGGGCATCAGGAGGCACGGAGACATGGTCAGCAGGGTGCTTTCTACCGAACCTTCCGAGGATGGCCTGCGTGGGGCTCCGTGTGGAGGGTGGGAGCCCTCTCTGCCCCTCCCCGGGCGCCGCATCGCCCTCCCGCGGTCTCCGCCGGCCGGACGGGCGAGGCAGGTGCCGCCGGGGACCTGGGCCTGCGGCGGACGAGGCCCAGGACCACCCGGCCGCCTGGGCCTGGTCCACCCGCCCCGCCCCTTCCCTGCAGCGGCGTGTTTGTTTTAATTCACCGGGGCCGTTTACAAAACCACACTCCCACGGACGCATACATAATGGATAAGGTGTGCGCGCGCGTGTGTGTGTGTGTGTGTGTGTGTGTGTGTGTGTGTGTGAGGGGGACGGCAATGTTTTAAAGAAAACCCCGCAGGGCCTGGCACGGCAGCAGCAACTGCATTTCTGCTGCATCACATTTAACCGTTTGCAAACCGGTGCCGGGAGGATGCGCCGCGGCTGCAGCCTCGGCCGCCCGCCTCCGTTTGTTCGGGGCCCGCGGAGACCTGCATCGGGGGGAGTAGGGTCCAGAGGAGGGAGGCGTTGTCAGCTCCCCGGGGCCGGGAAGATGGCGAGGGGAGTGGGGGATGCAAAGACTGCCAAAGCCCAGCTCCCCACGAGCCCAGCCAGCATCCGCCCGCCTCCCTCTGCGCCGGGGCTCCCCGCCGGCCGGCGAGGCCCCTTTAAGAGCCGGCGCGCGCCCCCGCCCCGCGTGCTCCCACTTTCCATAGCAACGGCCCCGGGGGAGGGGGACGTCCTGGCAACGGCGCGCCCGCCCCCGGCGAGCGGTCACGTGACGGCGCGCAGCTGGAGCGCGGGCGCGCGCCGGGGCCTGAGCGCTGCTGCGGCGCGTGCGCGAGCGAGCGGTGCCGCACCGGCCGCGGGAGCCGGGAGTATTATGGGCTGTGGGCGCCGCCGCGGAGCAAGATGGAGCTGTCTGCCGTGGGCGAGCGGGTCTTCGCGGCCGAATCCATCATCAAGCGGCGGATCAGGAAGGTGAGCCGCCTCCCCGGGGCGGGACGCCGCGTCCCCCCGCCGCTGGCCGGCCCGCGGGGGCCTCGCGGCGCTGCGGCCCCGCTCGCCCGGGCTCCGCGCCCACCCCCACGCCGGCGCCTCCGCGGGTGCCCGCATCCTCCCCACCCCCACTCCCCCCTTTTTCCTTACCCCCCCCCCTCTGTTTTTCAGGGGCGCATCGAGTACCTGGTGAAATGGAAGGGGTGGGCCATCAAGTGAGTGCCGCGGGGTGCGGGGGCCGGGGGAGGGGAGGCCGGGGGCGCCGGGCCTTTTTTCCGGGGGGACGGGCGGGGGGCGGGGGCGGCGCCCACGTTTGCGCCCTGGCCGGTGCCGCGGCCTCGGTCCCCATGGGCACGCCCCGCCTGTGCGCCCGGCAGGTACAGCACCTGGGAGCCCGAGGAGAACATCCTGGACGCGAGGCTCATCGCCGCCTTCGAGCAGAAGTGAGTTCGGGAGGCCGGAGGCCGGCGGGGGCGCGGGGAGCCGCGCGGGCGGGCAGCGCCGCGGGGGCCCGGGGAAGGGGCTCTTTCTTAACCTTCCGCGTTTCCCCGCCGCAGGGAGAGGGAGCGTGAGCTGTACGGGCCCAAGAAGAGGGGACCCAAGCCCAAAACTTTCCTCCTGAAGGTAACCTGGCCCGGCCCCAGCGGCCCCTGCTCGGGCCTCCAGCGCCGGCGGCGCAGCGCGGGGCCTGCGAGGGGGGGAGGCGGGGAGGGAGGGAGGGGTCGGCGGCCGCCAGGCGGGCGGGCCTCTCCAGGCGGCCCCAGCCGGGCAGGGGGGTGGCTGTGAGCCCCTGGCAGCAGCCCGGCCTTCTCTGGCTTCAGCGAGAGAGTGTGGAAGTGGGGAGCCCCGAGGGGGGTCATCCTCGCTGGCAACATCAGGTTTGGGGAGGCCAGCAGGGCGCCGGGAAGGGGGTGGCAGGGAGGTGGCTTCTGCACCTGGAAGCCCTCCTCTTCCCCAGCCCTGAGCCATCTCGTTGTGATCCGCCTGGAATGAGACCCCAGGGGGGGAATGGATGTGGGCTGCCTCATGGCAGGGAGCAGGGAGAGGCCACCTGGCCCCAGCTTCCCTCGCTCCCAGGATTTGTTCTGCATGCCTTCCCTCCTCCCTCACGGAGGGATTCCGCTTGAATTTGACCTCAAGGCACTTCACTTTGAGTTCATCACCCAGGGCGGACCGCTGGCTCCGGGGCCCTGAGCCTCAGTTCCTTCCTGCCTCTGGCTGTTTCCAGAGGCCCTAATGAGGACTGAGAGGAGGGCAGGGCAAGCAGAGCCCTTAAGCCTTGGCAGGGGAGGGAGACCTAGCTCCCGAGGAAGGCATCTTAGTTCGGGGATATTTTATTTTATGTCATTTTGTTGGTGAGAAAGAACAGAGTCTGGAAAGGGGAAGGCAAGATGGCACCAGGCAAGGCTGTAAGTGACGGTCTCCGTGTTAGCGCCAAGCTTGTCCCAGGGCCCCTTCCCACCCCGACAGCCTGCGCCTTCGTGGCGATTGGTACAGAGAGGGCAGTGAGGACTCTGCAGAGAAGAGGCTGTGCGGGGTGCAGAAGCTCAGAATCGCCCATCCATCCGAAAGGCTCCCAGCCCAGCCCGAGTTGGGTGGGCGCCTCCAGCCTCACCTCCCCACCCAGTAGGACTTGTTTGGGGACTTGCTTTGGGGTTAAAGCAGAAGTGAAGGAAATGTTGGTTTCCAGCATGACATGTTCCTGTAACCCTGGGCCCTGATCTACACATGTCTCAGGGGGTCCATGAAGCAGCCTTAACCCTTGATGCTTCTTAGGAGCAATTGTGCAGAGCAGCTAAAGGGCTGGTATGACGCCCTCAGCGCTGCTGGAGCACCCTCTAGCGGCGAAGCGAGTAATGACTAAAATTTTTATTCACAAAATGCCTTTTTTTTTTTTTTTTTAATAGTTTTAGTTCCTGAGCTGGCTATGGGCCTAGTGCAATGCTGAGTCCCCATATGGATTATTCTCTCAACACTCTATGAAGTGGGGAGTATTATCTCCATTTCACAGATGAGAAAGTCAAGGCCCACGCAGGGGAATTGACTTACCTGAGATCCCATCACCCAACTTCATAACTTCACCCTGTCCTTCCCTTCACCCTGTCCTTCAGAGAGTACACATCGAGGAAGGGACAAGGTGGGAAGCACACGCGGGAAACCATGAAGGGACGGGGTGCAGAAGCAAGTGAGAAGGCCTTGCCTGGGTGGGAGAGATCAGCTTGATCTGAACCCAATGCCCTGTGAGTCACCGAGGGGCAATGTGCACAGTAAGCCTGCACCTTCCGCTGGGAACTATTTTGAAGGGAACAGGAGCCGGGAAATAGATCACATTATCCCCGTTTACACTTAAAAAACAGGCGAGGGGGCTCCTCCGAGCCATGCCTGTCACCGGGTCAGAATACTATCAACCCGGGCCGTCGGCTGTGGTTGCCATTTTTAAAAAAGAAAATTGTACTTGGTGGGGCAAAAGTAGATTTATAGTTGTTCATATGGAAAATAATACAGAAATAAATTTTCATATTAGTCACAACTCTAAGCCCACTTTTGCCCCATCCTGTATTTAGGAATTAAAGGAAAGAAACGTTTCTCGCAGAAAGTTTAGGCACCATACCTTAGAAAAACCTTGCTGCCCATCAGCATAGATAAGTTGGTATTGATTGCTAGCTGCATGCCACACACTGTGCTAAGCAGGTAACAAGTGATGGCCACAGGAGCCGCGGTGGTGGGCCCTGCTCTGACTGCACAGATAGGGAAAGAGACCCGGGGACCCCCTGAGCTGGGAGTTCATCCTGGAGCCGATGTTTGCCCACACCCTTGGCCGCTCCCCAGGGGCTGTCCATCCCTGCTGGACTCTGAGAACCATTGTTACAGAGGACCAAGGGCCCAGGCCATCAGAGGGAACCACCCCGCCCTGGGGGAGCAGCCAGAACCAGGGTCCCCCAAGCGCCAGCGGGGTTGAACCTGCAAAAGGCCCTACCTGCCTTCCCCTGCCTTTGGGAAAGGCTGGAAGGGAACCAGGTACCGCCTGGGAGCAAACTGCTGGGAGCCCTGGCAGGGCAGGCCAGGCTCCGCGGGCTGCCACCTAGAGGCTGAAAGCGGCTATGCTGGGAGGGCCTGGCATTAAAGTGTACGCCCACATTTCAATGAAAAGCATCTTTACTTACTCAGCAAGTGAGTCAGAAAACACCTGTTCTGGGGGTTGTGGTCAGATACGACCTAGTCTGTGTAAGGGCGGTGCAGCTACCTCCAGGTACTGGTTAAGCATCCAGTGGTGGTATGGGGTGGGGTGAAGGGACCCCAGACCACAGATCCCGCTCCCAGGGAGCTCAGACTATGGAAATGTGGCCTTTTCTTGGCCATCACCATCCCCCACCCAGGTGAATGCAGTTACCCCCAAAGTCCCTGTCCCACTGGAGCTGGGGTGTACCCCTGAAAGAGCCCCCTGCCCCACCAGGAAGTAGGTGCCTGTAGGATGCAGACCAGTCAGCCACCTCCACCCTCTCTGCAGCCATTGCTCAGTCCCTTGGCCACTCTGCCTCCACTGTCTCAGCGCCCCTTCAGCAGCCTCTGGGGCCGCTGCAACCACCGGGCCCAGTCAGACTCAGGACCAGGGCGCCCCTACTCGGGCTGAGCCCGCACCACCCGCCCTGTACCCACAGGCGCGGGCCCAGGCCGAGGCCCTCCGCATCAGCGATGTGCACTTCCCCGTCAAGCCGAGCGCCAGCGCCTCCTCGCCCAAGCTGCACTCCAGCGCCGCCGTGCACCGGCTCAAGAAGGACATCCGCCGCTGCCACCGCATGTCCCGCCGGCCGCTGGCCCGCCCCGACCCCCAGGGCGGCAGCCCGGGCCTGCGCCCGCCCATCTCGCCCTTCTCCGAGACCGTGCGCATCATCAACCGCAAGGTGAAGCCGCGGGAGCCCAAGCGGAACCGCATCATCCTGAACCTGAAGGTCATCGACAAGGGCGCCGGTGCGGGGGGCGCCGGGCAGGGGGCCGGCAACCTGGCCCGCCCCAAGGTCCCCTCCCGGAACCGCGTCATCGGCAAGAGCAAGAAGTTCAGTGAGAGCATCCTGCGCACGCAGATCCGCCACATGAAGCTGGGCGCCCTGGCGCTGTACAAGCCGCCCGCGCCCGGCGCCCTGCCCGCCCCGCCCGGCAAGGCCGACCCGGCCGCCCCCGCCCCGGGGCTGCCCCTGGCGGCCCCCGCCGCCTCCTACGATGCCCGCAGCTCCAGCTCCTCCGGCTGCCCCTCGCCCGCACCACAGTCCTCCTCCGACCCCGACGACGCGCCCCCCAAACTGCTCCTCGAGACCATGAGCCCATCTGCCCCCGACTGGCAGGAGCCCGAGGTGCTCGACCTGTCCATCTCTCCCGAGGCGGCGGCCGCCGGCAAGCGGGCACCCCCCAGCGCCCCTCCGTCCGCGGGCCAGGAGCCGCCCCCCGCCCCCGAGCCCGCGGGCGCCGCCGAGCCGGAGGCCGGGGACTGGCGCCCCGAGATGTCGCCCTGCTCCAACGTGGTCGTCACCGACGTCACTAGCAACCTCCTGACCGTCACCATCAAGGAGTTCTGCAACCCCGAGGATTTCGAGAAGGTGGCTGCCGGGGTGGCAGGCTCTGCCGGTGGGGGCGGCAGCGGCGGGCTGAGCAAGTGAGGGGCTCCAGCCAGGAGGAGGCTTTGGGGGGGCCTCCTGCCGAAGGTCGCGCTTTCTCCCACCCCCTCAGACACCTGCCTGTGCTTTGCTTCTTTCCAGTGGCTCAGTGTTACCCCGGGATGGGATGGGCAGTGGGAACCCCTCCAGCCCAGTGGGGGTCCGACCTGGACCAGATTAGGGCTGGAGTTGGGCAGAGGCACTGGCAAGTCCTCTTGTCATTCGGCACCCTCTCTCGCCATGCACGGGAGGCCCACTGGGCGACTCCTAGGGAGTCCCAGAACCTGGGGTTCAGCTGCCGCCTCCAGCCCTGCCCTGTCTCCCCAGCTTGCTTCCAGCTCGCGCACGCACGGCATCTGATTTCTCGGTGCTACCCGGCAGCCGAGGGGCCTTAGGAGACCCCTCCCAGCATGGGCACCCTTCCTTTCCTTCCTCCGGGTGCCAGGGCAGAAGGGCAGGGATGGCAGAGCCCAGCCAGGTTGAGGAGCCCAGTGAGGGTGGCGGTGCCCAGAGCACGGGTCTGCCCACTTCTGGAGGAGACTCGAGCACTCCTTTCGGCCCCACCCCCCTCTCTAACCCCTGACTGGCAGGTGGGAGCTGGCAGGACTTCACCTGTCGGGCTCCCAGCAGCTAAGGGCCCCTCAGTTCACGACCAAAGGTGCTTCCGGAACCTGCCGCGGACACTTCCAGCCCTGTGTGTGTGCGTGTGCAGCCACTTGCTGTGCGTGTGCTGCCGTGTGTGCACCGGCCCTGGTCCAGCTTACGGGCGGCACCCCAGGGTTCCTCAGGACGGGGCCGCCCGAGGCCTGGACCTTCCCCTGCCGTTGGCTGGGCCTGTGGGGCCCCCAGGCCTACCCCCTGGCCCGTGTGCTGGGCGTGCAGCCTGACCGGAGCCTCTGGCTGCGCACACGGCACGGGGGGGTGGGGTGGGGGGGGGCCTGAGGCGGTGAAGGGAGACCGTCCGAGCGTCCCTTCCTCCTGGGTGCTGTGGGGAGGGGGAAGCCGGGCTCTGAGCTCCGGGGCTCCAGCTCCTCGCCCCCCTCGCCTGCTTCTGACTGCGGAGGCTGTCTCAGCGCTCCCTCTGCTGCCAGGAGCTGAGGCATCCGTGCCAGCGGCAGAGACCAAAGCCCCGTTCCAGTCCAGACCTGGGAGGACAGGCAGGCCGAGGGGGGGCGCGAAGAGGGGCCGGGGTCTGGTGCGCTGGGGAGGCAGCCTGGGCCACTGGCTGCCAGGTTGGCATGAGGAGCAGCCCTGGGTCCTGCCAGGGCTCGGTGTAGCCCTGGTACATGGGTGACAGGGTCCACTCGGAGCAGGAGGCAGAAAGGGAATCTGATTGGGGAACAGGAAGTGTGGGAGGACTCGCATCCCCCACCAGGGGCTGCAACCAGGCCTCTGGCCCCCCACCCCAGGGTGCAGAGCGAGGGCCTCGGAGGGTTTGGGGGGCTGGCACTCCCGGACCCTCCCACCGGCCCTTGGTGTTGGCTCCATGGCTGTCCAAGTGCCAATGGGCTGCCCCCCAAATAAGGGCTGGTTTCTCCTCTGTCCTCGGAGGTGACCCCCGACCCCTCACCCCAGGTGAGCAACCACCTGGCGTCAGTTCCAGGTGTCTCCGAGACCATAGAAATGTGTTTTCCTGAGAGTCTGTCATTCGTGACTTTTTGTAAAGAAGTTGTGTTTTCAGAGGTGATTTTATGACGGGAAAGTGAAAGAATTAGTTTTGCAAAAAACAAAAAAGAGGAAAAAAAAGAAATAGAAAAAAATATTGTGGGATTCCTATGGGGATGGGGAGGGAGGGGACAAAGATATTTAAGGAAAACTGGTAACGCAGTGATTGCACAGGTGAGTGGCAATGGAGGGCAGGAACGGAGGGCGGCCGTGGCCACCGCCTGCCTTCGAGGTGGGGCAGAGTGAGCCCTCCACCCCGGCCTGACCCTCCAGGGAAAGGGTGACGGCTGGTTCTAAGCTGCAGGGGCCCAGCACATGGAGCTGAGATGTGGGGAGTGGGCAGGCTATGCCAGGACAGCGTTGGTGAAGGCTGGTGAATAGGGTTGCTTGCTCTCCTCTGTCCTTCACTTGTTGGGCCATCTGGTCCCTACCACCCCCCCCCCCATGGGGACGTCTCCCCATCACCCAAAGACCAGGCCCCCCTGCACTTCCCTGGCCAGGGAGAGGATACGCTTCAGGGAGACGGGAGCTGAGCACGACGGGTGACGTAGGTGGTGCCCCTCAGGGGTTGGGTTACCATGGAGAGAAGAGAATGCGTACCCCTTCTCTGTCCACTGGTGACGGTTGCTGCCTGGCCCCTCTCCTGGCAGAGGCACGCATGCAGCTGCTCTGGATGACGGCTCCCTGGTGGCCTGTGTGGGCGGCATCACGAGCAAACGGCCCTTTCCTCTCCCAGGTGGTGGGAGCCGGCCCGAAAGCACCCACTCCCGCACGGCTCAGCCCCCAGGGCCCTCCCCCCTTGCTGCCTTCCCACTTGCCTGATTACCAAGCAGAGGTGGCAGCCTGGTTTGCTTTATTTTTACATGTGAGATGTCCCCTAATGCCACCCCTTCCCACCCCCATGTCATAGGAAACGGGTGAGGTCTGGTGTCTCCGGTTTGAGATGGGAAGTTGGGACCATCCTGTGCTCCCCTCTGACCCTCATTTGCCCATCTGTGAAATGGGTGTGTGGGAGCCAGGCCTCTGTGGGGCGCTGCTGGTGGCCAGGCAGCAGCTGAGGATTAGGTGAGGGGTGGTTGAGGTTGTCTCTCGCAGCCCCTTTTCTCACCCTACAAGGGGTCAGGGTCACATGAGTTCCATCCTTTTTCTGCTCTGGAGAGGAGGATCAAGCTCCCAGCCTCGCTGTGCGCTGGGCCGGGTTGGAGGGATCACCCCGTTTATGGAAACGGCTCCTAGAGGCAGAGATGCCTCTGGCATTTGTAAAGCCCCTTTACTTGCTGGGCCCTGGAGCTGCCGCAGAGCCAGCAGGCTGCCCCTGAGCCAGGGTCCTGCGTGAGGGTTGTCCAGAGCAGAAAGCGTTAGCTCGGGCAGGAGCGGGTGGGCCGCCGTCAGCCTTCCGGCCCGGAACCAGGCGAGCACCCTGTCTCCCGCCCTCGGGGCATCGTGGCTTAGGGATTGATTGGTTTTGCACTTGGCCCCCGGAGCGGAGCCCCTGTCAGCCCCGCGATGCACTAGCCCACGGCGGCCCTGGGGGCTCCTATGGTTTAGGAATCACTTTTAAAGAAAGTGTTTAAAGGTTTTTGTTTTTTATCTGCATCTCCTCTCAGATTCAGAAAGCCCAGAATCACGGCCTCAAACTGCAGGAGGTTCCCAGCCTGCCCCAGCTTGCTGGCAGTCACCAGGATGCCAGATGGGGCAGCTGGATGGGGACTGAGAACCCCACCCCCCAAGGAGTCAGCGCCTCACTCCACTGAGTGCCCCTACTGTGTGCAATGCTCCCGCCGGGCAAAGGGGGTGACGGTGCAATGGGGGACCCTCACCAGAGGCCAGCGAGAAGGAAGGGTCCTGGGGCCGCCCCGGCTTTGGCCAGAGCGGAGATGGAGACCTTTGGTTTTAATTTAAGAACGCAAAGGCCTAAAGAAATGTATCTTTTAATTTTTTTTTTTAATTTTTGAAAAGCTCATTTAAGGAGTTGTGCACGGATGAATTCTATATATATAAAGTATACGTATATAGCTCTATATTTGGGGAGGGCACTCTTCTCTCTCGTTTTAAAAATGAAGTGTTGTTGCCTTTGTCTGTGGTTCAACCATCCAGCTCCCAGCTGGCTAAACTTTGCCTCAGCGGTTAGAGAGGAGCAGGCCCTGCGAGAGGGGTCCCGGCCCCCGCCCCCGCCCCGAGGCTGCGGGAGAAGGCAGCCTGGTTCGGGTGGGGCTTGGTTCTGTTCGGATTCGGTTGTTTCTGGGTCGGGGAGGGGGGGTCGTGCTGATACTCGTCTTGTACGTTTTGTTCTGCTGCTCTTTGATATTGTATCGATGCCAGGAAGGGGGGAAAGCTTCTCGCTCCCCAAATAAATTGTCACATTCCAGCTGAGGCCCGGGGGTGTCTGTCTCGTTTCTCGGACAGGTCCTGGAGAATGCCAACAAGGCCCGCACGGGGAGGGTCCGCCATGGCCTGCCCCCATTGGAATCGCATCACCCACAGGGGCTGTGGGCTGGGTCCCTGGCCAGCTTATCGCCCGAGAGCCCGGGGAGCACCCAGCGTGGGGCATGGCTGCCCGGAGCGGCTCCAGCTGGCACGATGCTTCGCTAACGAGGAGGCTGGGAGAGACTGTCTCCGGCCCTCGTGTGCCTCTAATTGGAGGAGCCCTTTCTCTGCAGGTGCCCCTGCTTTACAGGCAGCACCAGGCCTGCGCTCTGCCAGGACTGCCCCTCTAGCCGCTTGCCAGGCCTTGATTGGGTGTCCTGTCCAGTGCCCCCTCACCACCATCCCCCTTCTGGCTTCCCCATCTCTCCCCTCCCGCCCTCCTGCCTCAGCCTCGTCTGCCAGCTCCAGCCTCCTGCACCCGCCCTGCCTCAACCTCAGAGCCCCCACCTCAGGTCCTGCCCCCCTCAGCCTGGCAGCCGCTCGGGGTGCCTGCCCCTCCCTGCCCCAGGCGCTCTCGGGTGTCCCTCCCCGCCCTGTGGTCCCTCCCTGCCCCGTGTCTGCAACTGGTCCTGGACTCAGGCCCGAGATCCAGCCGGCGGGTGGGAAGGCGGCGAGGGGCTGAGTCCCACCGTGAGGTCAGGGCCAGCCCTCCTATGGCGCCTGCCCCGGTCCCCGCCCCCTGCCTCCCCGGCCCCCCCCCCCCCCGGCCCCCCTGCCCGGCGGCGTCCTCCACACCCTCACTGGGGGCTTCTGAGGCGGAGCATCTGGCCGCTCCTCCCTCCGCAGCAGTGAGGCCGGAGTAGGAGCCGTGTCAGAAGGTCACCTCCCCTGAGGAGGCACCGGCGGGAGATCTGTTCCCGTCGAGCTTCTGCCCTGGTGTGCTGGGCACCTCCCTGTGTCCGCCAGCCATTGTGTTCACATCCCTCCTGGAAGCCCATTGTTCCGGAGACTCAGAAGCTGGGGAGGGAGAGGTGCAGGGGGAAGAGGCCTGGCTGCTGTCAGAAGGGCACGGTGGCCGCTCACCTGCCCGAGGTGTCTCGGAGGCAGGAGTGGAGCCGGGTTCGGACACGGGGTAAACGATGGCAGACTCTCCCAACACCACTGAGCTCCCAGACAGGACAGACACCCGGCACCCAGCACCCAGGGAGGCCACACCCAGTGACACCAGAGGCTGATGCCGGCTGGGTGGGGGTGGGGTGAGGATGGGGATGGGGGTGGGGGTAGGGGGTGTGGTGGGGGTGGGGATGGGGGAGGGGATGGGGATGGGGGAGGGGGTGGGGTGGGGATGGGGTGGGAATAGGGGAGGGGGTGGGGTGGGGGTGGGGTTGGGGTGGGAATGGGGAGGGGGGTGGGGGTGGGGGTGGGAATGGGGAGTGGGAATGGGGATGGGTAGGGGTGTGGTGGAATGGGGATGGGGAGGGGGGTGGAAATAGGGGTGGATAGGGAGTGGGGTGAGGGGTGGGAATGGGGAGGGGGAGAGGGGGGTGGGGGTGGGGTGGGAATGGGGGAGGGGGTGGGGTGGGGGTAGCGCCGGGACAAGCGTGGGTGCTGTGGTCTCTGCGGACCCCAGGGCCAGGAGTTCGGCTCTTATGCCTCTGCAGGGTGGGAGACCAGGCCTGGGCCCTTGCCAGAGGAGATTCGGAACCAAGACACTGAATAAAGGGGAACCCGTGTCCTCGTTGAAAGAGCAAACGATGGGAAATGGCCCTTTTACAAAAAGAGGGAGAAGCTGTCAGTCATTTCTCAGCTCCGTTGGAAAGCTGAAGAGTCTCGTTTAGGAAAGTGTAAACCCTGACACAGGTTTCAGGTTTGAATTTTCATTAACTACATGGTCTTAGGACTCCCAAATCAGGAAATTAATATAAAAGGCACCCACATGCCGAAACCAGTGTGGCTCAGTGGGTAGAGCGTCGGCCAGGTTCGATTCCGGCCAAGGGCAAGTGCCTTGGTTGTGGGCACATCCCCGTTGGGGGGTGTGCAGGAGGCAGCTGGTCAATGTTTCTCTGTCATCAATGTTTCTAGCTCTCTATTCCCTCTCCCTTCCTCTCTGTGAAAAATCAATAAAATATATCTTTAAATAAAAATAAAAAAAGATGCTCATGAGTGATGGTCAGATTTCCAGATGTAACACAATCGATATAGGGGATGGGCAAGAGGCAGCTGATCAATGATTCTCTCTCATCGATGTTTCTAATTCTCTATCCCTCTCCCTTCCTCTCTGTAAAAAATCAATAAAATATATATATATTTTTAAAAAGGCACCCATAGAGCATGTGGCAGAACCAAATGCAAGTCTCTCTGGAGGGACAGCCCCACCGTCAAGGCCACAGGAGATTCTCACCGATAAAACTCTTGGAAGCATGAGCTCGCAGTCTAAAATTCCAAAACATAAACCCTCAAGGCACAAACAGCTGAGCCACGAACAGTATCTATAGCATCCTGCCCCGTCTCGTTATTCTCCAGCACATGGTGATGTCCAAAACTTATCATGTACGTCACGTGGAAGGACAAAACGCAAGTCCCAATAAATTTCAAGAAGTTGGCATCACCCTGACTGGCTTGGCTCAGTGGATAGA